CTGGGGATTCGAACCCGCCACCTTAGGTGTACGTGGCTGGCGCCTTAGCCGGTTGAGCCATAGGCGCCAAGCCAAGATATGTTAAGTTTATATCATACAATCTCAGCCCCATTCCACAGAATAACTACTTTTAATAGTTTGATTTATATCTTTTTTGTATAGACCTTATTTTATAAATTACAAGTGTACTATTCTATGTGCACATATATACACACACTCATTCGCAGAGTTTGTTGTTGGCATAATTTTTCGTTACTACAAGTAGGATCATTCTATACATGTTGCTCTACAACTTAACAGCTGATTGCATGTCAGTTAGTATAGCTCTGCTTCAGTATTTTATCAGCTATGTAATATTCTATTGTGTGGATGTAGAATAATTTAACCAATTACCTTTGATCAACATGTATATTATTTCTCATTTTTTTACTCTTATAGTAATAAAGAATGTGGCAGACCCCCTTATGTGTGCTCATTGCATGCTTGTTCAAGTAGGGTAGATTCCTAGAATTGTTGCTGCTAGGTCAAAGGCTATGTGTATTAAAATTTTTTGTGCTTGCTGCCAAATTGCCTTCCAGAAAGTCTAGCAGTTTGCATTGTTGTCAGCATTTTACTCAGTCTTTCTGGGTGTTGATCTGGACAGGTCAGTGCCTGTATACTTCTCTCAAAGGCTCTTTGATTTCTTCATTCTGTTAATTTTTTCAGGTGGGATATTGTGTAGTGGTTATGTTTTTGTCAAAAAAGTCTTTATCTTTCTAAGATAGATTATAGGTTAATTAATTGAGAGGAGGGGGAGGATGGGATAGAATTTTTTATTATCCTCAAACTTTGTTGAAAAATTAAGGGAAAAGACAATAGAACCCAGAAGTGCAGAAAAACAGATGCACATAATAAAGAACAGATTTCTACATGTGACTGACGAATAACCACAGCTGGACAATTACAGGACTATCCTGCTCCCACACAGTGTTAGAGTTTTGATCTGGACCTACTGCAGAGTCTGATGACCTTCTCAATCCCTTCCAGAATCTCCTTTTTTGTTCAGGCCTCCATATCTATCTCTTTTCTGGATCTGGGATTTACTGCTCTGACCCTTGCAACCTCTTTTAACTCTCCTCTTCCATGGATACCCCTTTTTTTCCTCTCTTATGTGAGGAAGTATCTGAATGTCTGACCACAGGGCTTCTTTTTTGATTCATTATCTTGTTCTCAACTTCTCCAGGTCTCTGAGGCTTGACTTTTAGAAACTGATTTTCATTGTCTGGCTTGGTTTGGTAAAACCGGTTTTTAAGTTCTTCCTTTTGTTGAAGTTTGGCTTTTTCATCTGTAGTTCAAGGCTAGCATCTGGGCCTAGTCTCTACATTACCTCTTCTTTCAACAACCAGCAGAAGCCACTGCCTCTTCCTGTTCCTAAGCCCTACTTCCCCGTCAGACCACCCACTGAGTTCCTGTTCTTCTTTGATGCCGATAGCTCTAGCTTGCATATGACTTGCAGAGTAGTAATAATAAAGAGTTACCACTTTTTGTGGGTTTGCTAAGCATCAGACTTAATACTAAGTACTTTGTATTACAATAGACATGTATATCATCATTCTTTTGCCATCAAACTAATGGTTCTTATCCTTAAGTTACCAGAGGAGGAATCTAAGGTTCAGAGAAGTTGAGCAACTTTCCTAAGGTCACACAGCTATTTAAATAGCAGAGCTGACATTCAAACAGGAGTCTCTGACTCTACACCTTTAACCCTTGTGGTAGTTTAGAGGTAACTGAAACATTGCTCACCAAGCAGACAGGGCATTTCCTGGCTTAATGGCTTTGATGGCTTTTCTCAATTCTCTCTGTTCCAGAGAATTCTTTCTTTTCAAAAAGAAAGAAACCTGTATTGATTATCTGTTGGGCCCTGTATTGATTTTACATCCCTTCTCTCACTACAGGTTTATAACATCACGTCGCTCCTCTGCTTAAAACTCTTTACCTTGCACTTAGAAGAAAATCTAAATTTCAGACTGTGGTTTAAAACGATGACGCATGCTAACCCTTTCCTACATCCCTGACCATATCTCTAACTGCTCTCTTCCCTGCAGACTACTCTCAGCCATCCTGGCCTTCCTGCTTTTATTGGAATGCATCAGTCTTTGTCCATCTTGTGACCTCTGTATTTGACTTACTTGCAGCTTGTAATGGTCTTCCTGAAATCTTTGCCTAGTCAGCTCCTTTTGAGACTTAAGATCTTAGGTTCTTAGGAAAATCTTCTCTAATAATTCTGTCTGAAATTTCACCCCTTTCTTCCCATCACCCTCACTTACATCACTTTGTTTAATTTTATTCATAGCACTCTCCACTATCTGAAATGATCATATTTATTTATTTACATTGTTAGTTATTTTCAGTCTCATTTATTAGGTAAGCTTTTTGAGAATAGGAGGAAGTTTTGTCTGGCATATTATTCTTTGCTGTATTGCTAAGGCCTATGACAGTGCCTGGCATAGAGTAGTTCCTCAATAAATGCTTATTGAATAACTGAATGGATGAATGAATAGCAGTCAGTCTCTGTGAACAACAGTAAAAGTGTTTCCCTGAGAGGCCTGAGAAATGGCTCTGTAGAGCAGTGATTTTCTTAGTTGTGCTGTGAAAAATTTTAAAGATCATTAGTTAAATTATTTTCAAAACAGGTTCAAAGCACAGCAAGTCTATTCTTTTTTTTATTCTTTTTTTTGATCAACATCATTTAAGTGTGCCATGGAAGTTTAACTGTAGATTCAAGTGTGCTGTGAGATAAAAAAAGGTTGAAAAGCACTGCTGGGAAAAGATTAAAACATAGAGAGTGGAATCTTGATTTCTCTCCCCTTGCTTTGCAGGCCAGAGGCACCCAATGAATTCTATGATGGAGACCATGACAACGACAAGGAAAGCGATGTGGAGATTTAAGAGTTTCTAGTGATGCTGTGTCCCAAGGAGTTCCTTTTCACCTCTTGGTTGGACTGGAAGGGAAAGATGTGGCTCCCTCAGTCTTGGAGTGGTCATGCTAGGACTTTTACTGATTCTGGGGAAGGGTTTGGAGACCACATCTGATTGGAGAACCATCTGCCCCCTTCTTTTCACCCTACCAAGACCTGACATTGGTACCTATTAGGGATGAGATGTGCACAAGGATAGCTGTCTCTAGGACATGATTGCAGTGACCCTCAGAGGCCAGTCCTCAGCCCTTCTTGTCCTTTATTCCTTCCTTGTTTCCTTCCAACCCAGAGACTTCAGAGATGAAGGGATAGAGAGGACTGAGGTTGCCTTTGACATCCTCCTCTCTGGGGTTCTTCTGGCAAAAGCCTTGCCTCCAGGGCAAGTGAAGGGAGAGATTTGGAGGGGCTCTGGTTCCCTAACACCTTAACCCCAGATGATGGGTGTGAAGATGTTCTAACTTTGGCTTTATGTCCATTTTACCACTGTTTTTATCCAATAAACCAAGTTGTTATTTTTTGTACCTTTTGCCTTTCTATGACTATCAATTCTGATTAGCTTCTTGTGTATGAAGGGAGAAGGAAATAGGGGTGATGATGCATATAATAAAAACATAGTTAACATTCATTTAGCACTTAACCTATGTTAGACCCTGAGTATCTACATAGATTCTCTTACATATAAAGATTTGATAGAACATTCTGGCTAAGAGACAAACCTAGGATTACTAGCTTAAGAGAGGGAGTAGAAGATGATTTCAGGATTTTGAGCCCGCGTGTTTGGAATGGTGATGCTGGTTGATAAAGATACACTGAGAGGGTAGCACCTGTGGCTTCAAAGGAGTAGGGCACTGGCCCCATATGCCAGAGGTGGCAGGTTCAAAGCCAGCCCTGGCCAAAAACTGCAAAAAACAACAAAACAAACAAACAAAAGATACACTGAGACATGTCTTTTGCTTAGTACGCTGCCTAACAAAAAGTTGCTCATTAACTGTTTATATAAAGAAGGCTGCTCAGGCTTGGCGCCCATAGCTCAGTGGTTAGGGAGCCCCCCACATACGCCAGGGCTGGTGGGTTTGAATATGGCCCGGGCCTGCTAAACAACAACAATGACAACAACAACAAAAAATAGCTGGGAATTGTGGGGGGCATCCGTAGTCCCAACTACTTAGGAGGCTGAGGCAAGAGAATTGCTTAAGCCCAAGAGGTTGAGGTTGCTGTGAGCTGTGATGTCACGGCACTCTACCAAGGGTGACATAGTGAAACTCTGTCTCAAAAAAAAAAAAGAAGGATGCTCAATATTGTAGTAGTCATAAACACGAACCCTTCATAATCCAGCAAGGAGTATGATAAATGTTGTAGCAGATAAGGGTGGCACAGGAAAGAAAGTTCATCTCAATCCTTTGATCCTGTTTGTCTCTCAACACTGTAGCTTAAAAAGTATGAAGCTTTTTTTTTTTTTTTTGAGACAGTCTCATTTTTCACCCTTGGTAGAAGCTATGGTGTCATAGCTCACAGCAACCTCAAACTCTTGGCCTCAAGAGATCCTTCTGCCTTAGCCTCCCAAGTAGCCGAGACTATAGGCCTACCACAATGTCTGGCTCTCACCCTAGCTCAGGCTGGTCTTGAACTCCTGAACTCAGGCAATCCACCCGCTTCAGCCTCCCAGAGTGCTAAGATTATAGGTGTGAACCACTGCACACAGCTAAAGTAAGTAGCTTTTAACTTTTGGGAGAAAAAGTCCAGAAAGCTTGGCACTAAAATGAATTTGAACTGTGAACTGGATAGTTCTATGTAACTTTCCACATAATAGGCAACTGTTAAAAAGTCTGGAGCATAAGAGAGATGAAGATTTAGGAGATAGCCAGTTTGGCAGAGTCCCTGATATATATCAGGATGAGTAAATCACTTACGCTGCCCTTTAGGAATGTACACTTGAAATCTTTTGCTACCAGCGGTCAAGATGATTCAGTCCATACAGCGAAGGCTTTTATTAGTTGCCTTGTAATTTTCACACAAGGGACAGATGGTGCTGGGAGAATGGATGCAATTGCTGAGGGAGGAAATCATGTTAGAAGAACAAAAATGGGAGGCCAAGGCGGGTGGATTGCTTGAGCTCAGGAGTTTGAGATCAGCCTTAGCAAGAGTGAGCCCTGTCTCTACTAAAAACAGAAAAACTAGCCAGGTGTTGTGGTGGTGCCTATAGTGCCAGCTACACAGGAGGCTGAGGCAAGAGGATCACTTCAGCCCAAGAGTTTTTTTTTTTTTTTGAGACAGAGCCTCAAGCTCTTGCCCTGGGTAGAGTTCCATGGTATCACAGCTCACAGCAACCTCCAACTCCTGGGCTCAAGCGATTCTCTTGCCTCAGCCTCCCAAGTAGCTGGGACTATAGGCACCAGCCACAATGCCGGACTATTTTTTGGTTCTAGTTGTCATTGTTGTTTTGGCAGGCCCAGGCTGGATTTAAACCTGCCAGCTCTGTTGTATGTGGTTGGCGCCTTAGTGGCTTGAGCTACAGGTGCTGAGCCCAGCCCAAGAGTTTGAGGTGGTTGTGAGCAAAAATATCACAGCACTCTATCCTGGGCAACAGAGTAAGACTCTGCCTCCAAAAGAAAGAGCAAAGGACATATTCTTTTTGCTCATGCTTGGTTTATGTCAGTGGGAAAGGTGGTTAAACATAGGCCTTGGCAGCAATCAGACTAAGCTGATTGCTTTAGGATTGATTTAAGGGTTTAAATTTTGTATCGATTATGTTCTTGGGCAAGTCATTTCAACTCTCAAAATCCAGATTTCCTAATTTTAAAATGTTGAGATCAGCACAATCTGTCACACAGGGTTGTTAGCATTCAGAGAGAAAGTGCACGTAGAGTGCTTTAGATAGTGCCTGGCAGGGAGTAAGGCGTGGTAAGTAGTAACTGCACATGTTGGCAAAAACTGGTCTGTCCAGGTTAGAAGCCGTAACTACAGAGTATCTGACCTGGGTTTCAAAAGGAGGCGATTTAACTCCAGAGTTAGTCTGGTTCATAGTCTAGGACTTGCCTGGACCAAGCTTTTTCTTGGTGCATAGCTTTTAAAATATGGTAGCTGTCACTTTTAAAAAGGTTTTCATGTGTTCCAGTGGATTTTGCATACATGTAAACTGCATTACCCATAAAAGCCAAGCACTAAAATTTTCTGCCAAGATAATGGTTTCTCTTATGCGATTTTTGGTTCAGATAATGTCCGGGTCTAGGGTGTGAGAGTGTCCGGGTTTACAGCCACGTGGGCGCTGCATGGGAGCAGAGAAGCCTACGCTGCTCCAACCGCCAGGGGGCGGTGGCCCCAGTTGCGGCCGCGGAGCTATGTACCTCCCACTCGCCACCGCCCCCCTTCACCCACCCTCCCGGGCCTGAATGGTTAGGCCCGCGGGGCAGGTAGCGCGCTTCCGCGGCTTCCCTCCACCCTCTTCCCTTCCCCCATTGGTAGGGGCTGCGGTCCGGGCGGAAGTGGGGCAGGCGAGCGGGAGCCAGGCGTCATCGTTGTATATTCATGAGGCGCGCGCAGCCCGGCATGCTAATGAGGCGGGGCGCGGCGGCTGGCTAGGGAGCTGCTGGGCGGCGGCGGCGGCGAGCTTGGAGCTGCCGGGCGGGAGCGGCGTAGGCGCTGGTAACCGGTCCGCGCGAACCGGGACATGGAGCCGCCCGGCGGGGCCGCGGGGCCCGGCCGCGGGACCCGGGATAAGAAGAAGGGCCGGAGTCCAGACGAGCTGCCTACAGCGGGTGGCGACGGCGGCAAATCCAAGAAATTTGTGAGTGTCCCTCCCACCCTGCTCCTTCTGCCCAGCCCAGTAACCGCTCTCCAGACCCCCGCAGCCGGCCCCCTGGGACACCCGCCCGTTTCTAGGGAGCCGCCGCCGCCCCTCGCTTTCTCGTTTCGTTCGGTCCTCGGCTCCGCAGCCCGAAATCTTCCCCCTCCGGGACCTCGGGAAACCCCAGAGTCTTACCCGGCTTTTGCCCGGCAACCTCAGGGCTTCCTTCACTCCCCAGCCCGCACGTTCTGCCCTCCGCCCCCAAAGCCCCAGCCAGCTCTCAGCCTCATCTCTTCCTTCTCAGCCCCACTCCTTTCTTCTTCCTCTGGTACCCGAACACGCCTTCTCTTTCTTGGTCCCCTGTGTTTTTTGGGGTCCATTTTCTCCTCTTACCCTTACCCCTGTTTGGTATTCTCTTATTTCCTTCTCCGAAAGGTCACTTCCTTCCCCATGATTGATCCCTTTCACCTGCTAACTTTCCTCCCGCCCAGTCCCCCCTCTGGGCCCTCAGCCCGGTGTCACCTGATAATCCTTCCCCTCAGGAATGTTACCTGACTTGGGCCCTACCTCCTCTCCTCCCTTGGACATTTGTCCTTGCAATTACAGAAAGGATTTCGGCCCAGGTCCGATGGTCACTGGGGCAAGACGTTCATTTTCTTACCTGTATTTCTCTATCCAAAGAACCTGTCTCTTTGCCCTGTTGCTTATCACTTTTTAGGGGATTAGAACTTCTCTTACGATTTTGCCCCTCCTGACGCAGGATGGAGATGAATCTCTCCTATGGGGAAGAAGTTAAACTGCGAGTCCAAGAAGTTCCTAATTGAATGGCTTTTTCTACATTTCCTATGATAACGATCTCCTCAACTCTTGCCACACCTATGGCCCAAAGCTACTACTGAAGTACCTTTTCCTACCTGTAGAAGAATAAGTTTTCTTCAGATGCCAATTACTTTCAATTTCAGTCTTAAGGAATATTGATGTTCGTGTAACCCTATCATATTTCATTACCGTTTGCCCTTTCTGAATCCTCTCTCCAGGAAGCTGTTTGCTTTTACTATAAAAGCTTTGGAAAATATGAGGCACTATCCAAGAGGGGAGGAGTCTTAGATCTTAAAAATCATTTGCTAGTTGTAACTGTAGTTATTTTGTCTTTTCTTCCAGGTATTTATACCCCTGTGTTAGGATCTCTTTCTACTAACCATATGGCTTGTAATTCTTATCTTTCTTTTTCTTAGCCCAATCCCCCAACATTCTGACCCAGCTCTGTAAATTTGGGGAGAAAGCTGATAAAATGATGGTGACAGGAAGAAAATGTTTTATGACCCAGAGGATTGAGATGTGGGGCATGTTAAACAGAATTAAATAAAATAGTGACTCATCTCTTCCTACCTATTTCTGACTAGACGAAGTGCTCTTGGACTGTCCAGTGACATGCAGGCTGTCAGTAACTGCTTGTTTTTATCTTTTGAACACCTCCTCCCTCCCAAATATAGGGTTAATAGTAGTGGCACTATTAAACCCCCCTTTGGTGAGTAAAGCAACATTTCCCTATTTCTTTAGAATAAGAATTGACCCTCTAGTTAGAGAGCTTTCCTTTCAAAAGTTAAACTTTAGGGCTCATATCCTTGTCTTTCTGTATCTTTTTGTTGTGATTTTGTTTCCATGGGTACTGTTTGACCTTCCTCACCCAAATTTTAGCTTTGCTGCTGATTTGTAGTGACCTTTGTGACTTGTAAATGTTTCAGGTCTTTAGTACAATTTTATACGTGCTTTTATTTTATCTAACACTTGTGTGTTTTCCAGTTTGTGAAGTCTTCTAAGTATGTGGTGCTGTAAGGTGAGAAACCTGAAGGAAGTGGACTCCTTTTCACCTGTTTTTTGGAATGTCCATGGAGTCTTGCATATGCTTAGAGGATTTGGCTCAGAGTTGTTGGGTTGGTATTTGCTTTAGAAAGGGTGGAGCTGAACCAAGTTCTCTTTTTTCTTTCTGAGGTGCTGGTCTTAACCCCTAACCTACTGAATTTTTAAATCCTAGTTAAAAAGTTAGTGAAGAGAATTGCATTTAGTATCTAGGGAATTGGAAGGTTTCTAGGAAAGTAATGCTGTTTAACCCCTTTATTGCCAAGTGTAACCTATCTCAAGATGTCAAAATATTCTGTCTTTGCTTTTTTTATGAGAACTCTGTGGAAATGAGAGATGAGGAGAAGCATTGCAATTCACTTCTGTTTTTGTGGTGTATGTATATGTAGGTGGGTGGAGTGGGTGAGACTGCTGGTGTGTTTTTGTTACCCATGGCTTAGTTTTCTTGAACTATATAGACTAAAATTGAACTCAAAGCTCTTTTGCCTACTTCAAATTTTCTAAAGGTGTATGTCCTCTAGAACTCAACATTAAGAGTGTATCAGTTTGAACTGAGTGTACCTGCAGGAAGGTTGTTTGCATTTGCAAGGTATAATCCCTTTAGCTGCTATATACCTTCCCCAGCTTATGCAGGTTCTAAGTACAGATCAACTGATGAGAACACAGAGCTCAGCTCTTACCCTATGAAGCATCTTGTGTGGAAAGTAGATGGAGTCTAAGTTTAAAAAGTACTTGGGCATTGTTTTTTAAAAAATATGATTGTTGAGGCAGTGCCTGTGGCTCAAAGGGGAGGGTGCTGGCCTCATATGCTGGAGGTGGCGGGTTCAAACCCAGCCCTGGCCAAAAACTGCAAAAAAAAAAAAAAAAAAAAATGATTGTTAGAGATGCTGATGTGCGTGACTGAAGCCTGGCTACTTATTCCTCCTTGGTTCTTCGTGAATCAGTCTTCTCCTGGGTCATGAGCGTATCCCTTCTCCAGCATTATTCCAGTTTCTTTCAGAAGTCCTTAAGATGAAGGGAAACAAAAATTCTAAGTAAATAGAGTGTTTTTGACTTTTCAGCAATGATGGATGTGAGTGTCAAATAGGCTGATTTCTGTTCTGAAATACATGTAAGGGGAATAAGTACAAACAGGATGTAAGGATGCTGCACAGTATTCCTGCAATTAATAGACACCATGCCTTCTTACACGATCCAGAAATTGATACTTTTTTTTTTTTTGAGACAGAGCCTCAAGCTGTTCCCCTGGCTAGAGTGCCATGGCATCACAGCTCACTACAACTTCCAACTCCTGGGCTCAAGCGAGTCTCCTGCCTCAGCCTCTCAAGTAGCTGGGACCATAGGTGCCCACCGCAACGCCTGGCTATTTTTTGGTTGCAGCCATCATTGTTGTTTGGCGGGCTCGGGCTGGATTTGAACCCACCACCTTAGGTGTATGTGGCTGGCGCCTTAGCCGCTTGAGCCACAGGCGCCGAGCTGGGAGAATACTTTTTAAATGTTTAATTTTGGATGCCTGGGAAATTATTTTCATGTTGCAGTTGCACACTCATCTAAAAGCAGTGTTAAGGGCGGCCCCTGTGGCTCAAAGGAATAGGGTGCTCGCCCCATATGCTGGAGGTGGCAGGTTCAAACCCAGCCCTGGCCAAAAATAAATAAATAAATAAATAAATAAAGTCTATTAAAAAAATAAAAAAAATAAAAGCAGTGTTAAGAGTGTAAATGTTTAGTTGTAGATCCCTGTCCAAAATGAGACAGATAAAGAATGGTAGGTGGAATTTTAAGCAGGTATTAGGAAACACAGAGAACATGAAAGAAGTGGAGTTGTTAGTACAGATTTCTGCTCATCTCCTCTTTTCTTTTTGAGACAGAGTCTTACTCTGTCACCCCAGGTAGAGTAGTACCATGGCATCATAGCTCACAGCAACTTCAAACTTTTGGGCTTGAGAGTTCCTCTTGCCTCAGTCTCTCAAGTAGCTGGGACTCTAGGTGTTCCCACTAATCTTTTCTACTTTTGGTAGAGATGGGGTCTCACTCTTGCTCAGGCTGGTCTGGAACTCCTGAGCTCAAGCAGTCCACCCCCCTCAGCCTCACTGAGTACTAGAATTACAGACATGAGCCACTGCACCTGGCCTGCTTATCTCTTCTTAAAGAAGGCATAAACTTCCATCCAAAAGTTCCCAGAAAACTAAGAAATAGAGAGTCTTGTACCAGTTGTGTTTTTTAAAAAAAGATCATAAACATAGGGATTATTTAGTTTGGAAAGGAGGAGGGGAGGCTACAGGAATGTTAGTGAGATGTTTGAGATGACAGAATGATAGCTTAAAAATTTCTGCCCTAGGCTTGGCACAGTGGCCGATGCCTGTAATTCTAGCACTCTAGGATGCTGAGGTGGGAGGTCAGAAGTTTGAGACTAGCCTAGGCAAAGGGAGACCCTGTCTCTACTAAAAATAGAAAAAGCAGCAGAGCTTGGTGAAATTATCTATAGTCCTAGCTACTAGGGAGGGTGCAGCAGGAGAATCGCTTAAACCCAGGAGTTTGCGGTTGTTGTGAGTTAGGCTAAGCCCATGGCACTCTAGCCTGGGCAACAGAGAGACGCTCTGTTTGATGAAAAAAAAGAAAAAAGAAAGGGGGGCAGTGCCTGTGGCTCAAAGGAGTAGTGGGCTGGCCCCATATACTGGTGGTGGTGGGTTCAAACCCAGCCCAGGCCAAAAACTGCAAAAAAAAAAAAAAAATTCTGCCTGCTTTGTTTTAAAGACATTTTGTGGATCTACTTGATAATATTATCTGTCCTTGTCTCAAAGAAAATTCTCTGTCACAGGAGGTGAAACCGAGGGAGAGTTGGTAAATATTGGGATACTTTATTTTAAAAGAGCTGAAAATTTTATGAACTGTAAATTACATTTATTATAGCAACTAAGAAAATAGTAATGTGAGAAATGGTGTAACTTTGTTGATGGGCATATGGGTCAGAATTAATTTTATTTCTTGTGTGATAGAATAACCTTTTGTTTTCCTCAAGGCTCCTCAGTAGTTTATTAATGGATTACCAGTTATTCTTGGAGTGTTACATCTTCTGTGAAATATAATAGAGGTTTAAAAGATAAGGTTATTGCCTGGTGCAGTGGCTCATGCCTATAATC